GGTTCAAAGTACTTCATATTATTTGAAGCAGCATATGGACTGTTGATCTGGTGTCAACAAAGGAATTGTCATTTTCACTGGATTACTAGGTACACTGATGGAGAAAATAAGAAGAATATTTATTGTAAAACATTTTAATTAAAAATATAAAAAAGTAGATGAATACTGAATACTTAAGAATATAACTTATTAATAACACCATTAAGACACAGATTCACTTCAAACAGGCCAAAATTAAATTCATAATCTCAAAAGCATCTGTCACAAATAATGGCAAGATCACAGCCTTAGATCAGACTATCTTTCCAGAGGTAATTCTATTACCAAACATGAAGTGTGAGGTGGCTATGTTCAGAAGTCATAGTTTGAAAATTATATTTGGTAACTCCAGGATAAGGTAAATGATTAAATTAAATCTATATCACCTTGGTGATAGTCATAGATCTAGTAAAAAACAGAGCATGTTATGCAAAGAAAAAGCATTCTGATAAAAGGAATAGCTCAGAACAGTGTCTTTTCTAGTCTACTGCATACTTTCTCAGGAAAGCTCTAGGATCAATTTTCTCCACTTCCCAGGGGAAGGAGCCACCACTGATTGGATTGCTCCAGCATCTTGAAGAAGCTGTCACATTCTCTTTTTTGAAAAAAAAAAATTGCTTTCCTGGGATTTCTAACCAAAGGAGCTGTTTCACTGCTGTGAATCCAGACTGCAGAGGCATCTAGGAAATTCCATTGGCACTTCCTGGCTCAGCATACAACCGAGTCATATTCTCTGATATAACTCTCCCCTTACACTCCATAAAGGAAATAGGTGACTGCTTGAAGGTTCACAGCAGGGTATCCAATAGAAGGAACTGCTATTATTCCCTGTGTGGCTAATGGAGAGAGAGACCTAATGAAGCCCCTGCTCTAAATCACTGTCTGGTGAGGTGCCTGCCTATTGCCACTGATTACTTGGAGAGTTCACACTTTCCATTACCTTAGATATATAGTATAGGTGATGGACCTCGATTATTATTGAAGTTTAGGGAGTGTGAATACCTTGTCTGTTTCTTTTTAATCCTAACTTCCTCTAGTGTATTTAACCCTTTGGTCTGAACAGCAGAAAGATTCAAATTTAAGAGAGATTATTTCCGCTCCTGGGCCCCCACTCAAGCAAAGTCCATGAAATTAATACAGTATGAAGATCTCTTTGGAAAGAAGCACGATCTTCAGTGCTTGAAAGCAGTCCATATCTAGTTTTTGACTGAAAATGGCAAAATTACTCTGCTGAAAAGCAGCATGTCAAACTAGCCCAGATTTTCAAAGGTGCTGCATTTTTTATCTCTAGGGAAATCAAGGATTGCTATAGAGATAAAAAGCTATCATTTCTAAAAGAGTGGTGCCTTGTTTACAGCCAACTAGTCATTGACACATAAACCTGTCATACTCTTAATCACTACCCAGCGAAATTTTTTTAGTGTTTTTTGCATCCTCTATCTGTCTAATTTGAAAACATGTCCTCTCTGAAACTTTCGAGTTCTTTAGTATATTAGTTGGAACCCTAAGAATATGCTTATCTCTGACCAGTTTTCAATAGGTAGAAATTACGACAGAACTACTAAGTCTCAACTATCCCTTTTATTTCCAAACCATTAATCCATTAATTACTCCATTTTGAACACATATCCCATGTTTAGTGAAAATGGTATGTACACTGTAGCATTTTATATGGCTGCAACAATGAAATAAATGTAAGAAACTCTCATAATAAAGTTGATATTCACAATTTGTTTAATAATTTTATATTGATATTTCACTGCAGTTCCCAAAGAACCTCCTTGATCTCTATCTTTACAATAACTGCAGCTGTAAAAACAAAGCTACAATAGTGTAGGTTTTTTTGTAAAGGAAAGTAAGACCTCTCTACTAATAAAATAATCCAAACACTCAAGGCATTATTTATTTTCAGATAACTGACAAAAATTAATTTGACTATGTGTCTGTACCAACTATGTGTGACCCTTAAAAATCACTGGCAGACCAGGAATTTATAACCAGAACACATTCCCTGGACAGTGCAACTATTTGGATTAATTGCATTAAGAGACTTAATTTTGAAGGATTTGGGAATGTTTTTACAAGGTTTAGGAAGGATTTCATTGGGATTACATGATGAGCAATTTTGAATGTGCTTAACTGTTCACATTAACTCTCTAAGCAACCATGAAACAGATCAGTCATCACTGATTAATAATTCTTATCCAAGATTTTGTCACCATAAAGGGAGTATCTTTGTAGTTCAGTGTATACTTCAACCAGTCAGTAGGAAAAATAACCCTATGCTTTGGCAAGGATCTTGGTGCTGATGTTCTTCATGCTGCTGGATTTGAAGAGAGTGTCCTTTTACTCCACATATTTCTGTTTTCTTGTTTTGCCTTCAGACAAATGTAATTTTACTATTTGATCTAAAATTATATAAAAGTTGGCCTTTCTTTAAATTGATCTATATTTGGCATATGATAATATTACTTGCCAACACCACTTTCAAAGCTCAATTAATTGCAAATTTAACTTAGTTACTGAAACTGAGCACCAATGTCCTAAGATTAAGATACTAATTCAAGGGAGAAAATATGCATAAACTAAAAAGTTTTAGCAGTTGGATGTTGGTAGCTCTACTTGCAACAATTAGCCACATCAATTTTATGCCAAATGTCCTGTTACATGAACTGGGACAATAAGGCAGAGAATTAGGAGTTCTATATAAGTACTGCAAAACTGAATTTAAAAAAAGAATTGCATTCTTTTCATATTTCTGGGAAATCAGAAGTTTTAGAAATAAAGGCACTTCTCTGAGTTTATTTTTTTTCTAATGAAATCACAACTGCATTAATATACCAAAATGTGAGTGTCCAATGCTGAGCACACTGTTCTGTTGTATGCTATTATCTGATGGTAAATATGCAAATGCACAAATAAACCAAGAAATTATGCCTGCAGACCTCATTGGGAAAAATAGCAGAGGCAGCTGTGCATAGAGCTCCAAGAACACAGGTCAAATTTATGAGCATATGTAGATTTACTCAATTTTTGTTTTAAAAATAGATTTTACCTTTCACTGCAGATAATTTGTGTTACTAGCTATATCAATTATTGTACAGTAGAACAGACTGATTTTGTTTGATGCAAAGGCAGTCAGGAAATAAAAAAAAGTCAAATGTTAAACTTACACTTGAGTGAGATTTATTTGCTTGCTTGTTTGTTTGTAATTTGCACATTTAATTACCTGTGGGAGAGATTCTTGTGGACATTGGATTTTTCAAAATCATAAGGTGTGAACTATTGATAGAATTACCTGCCAAGAAATGTTAAATTCTAATACAGAACTCTGGAATAAATTTAATGAAGTTTCTATTTAAAACTTGCCTTATAGCCTGGGAATTTCATTGTTGAAACGGAATGGCAGCAACTGAGATTTCCTGACTCAAGGAAATACTTTCACAAAAGCAACTAAGATTATTCATATATGTATTGCTGTAAATACTGTAAAGCACAAACAGCTGTATATTTCTCATTTGGCTACACTATTAGATCACTAAGAAATTATATGAGCACTAATATAGCCCAACAACTGTTCTTCATTCAGCTTTGTCATTTAGGTACTTTTACCCATAAACTATCCTGATTTAGAATTCAGCACTGGTCATTTGCTACAGAATACAGAACAGTCAGACTGGTATATTACAGTGCTATTACCTCTCTTCCCTTTGTTTTAAAAATATTATTAAATGTGTTTATTATAGCAAAGAAATTCCCAAATGTTTGTCACCACCAAACACTTTAATATGAATCTCACCAACAACAGATTGTGCATACTTGCAATTTAGCTTTTAGTGGAATAAAAGTGCATGAAAAAGGTGAGTTAATGCAGAATCTCTGGTTAAAATTCATGTACATAAGTGAAAAATGGCTAGAGAACCTAATTAATGGTTACTATTGGAGCTTCTGATTAATCTGCAGAATTAGATGTGGAATTGAAAACCCAATCTGCTGTAACATACTGCAGAAACCATTGACTGAAAAATATGCAGCTATGAAATGAAATCCCTTATTCTGAAAAACATTATGTTTGACTGCCAAATGACAGGAAATATTGTCTGTGCTTTTAAAGTACTTCAAACATTAATATAGAAACCTGAGTTATGTATAAATTTCTAATTGCTTGAAAGAATAGTAAGGCAAAATTCTAGAGCAGCAGAAAAATCACTTTTGCATGCCATTTTTTAACATTGCCGATTTCTGACTCATGAGCTTAGTTCTCTGACTAAAAATTGTCGTGTTGTCTTGATATTAAAAGATCACAGCAAAAACACCACTGAGAAAAAAAGGCAACAAGGGTAGCACACCCTAGCTTCAGCCGAAAATGTGAGTTATATTTTATTTCAACAAACATAATTTAGCCTGATTTATCCACTTCCCTTCATGTAAAAAAAAAAAAAAAAAAAAAAAAAAAAAAAAAATTAAAAAAAATTTTTTTTTTATTGAACCCAGATAGAAGAGTGGATATGGACTGTGTATGTAAGAAATGGCACTGAGAGTTTTTAACCAGTGTGAGCATTGCCTCACGAGCTGGGCACTGGGAAATGGTGTCCAATGTTCTACCTTGCAATGCAAATTCCCCCAATTTCTTAGAACTCGCAGTTTATTACACCTGATCGTACTTCAAATGTGGCGGGTAAAGGAGCATTTTACTTCTGTAAACCTAGACTGACTGCGGAAACCTATTAAAAATCGACTTTTTAAAACTGACATTAATTTCTGATTGTGCATTAAGTCTTGAAGGAAGATGCACTTCCGCGTGTTTCAGAAAATACCGCAGCGCTACCAGGAGCCAGCGAGGAAGCTGGGAGCAGCTGCAGCGGCCACTGCGGAGGAGACACGCGGGAAGTAGCGGGGCGGTGCTGCCGCGGCCGCGCCGCCCTCACCGAGCGGGACGTTCGAAAGGCGGCGGCGCGGCCATGGTGGAGGGCCCGGGCTGCGCGCTCTGCGCCGAGCGCCTGCGGGCGCGCCTGCGCCGGGGGCAGCGCGTGCGGGCCGCGCGGGGCGGCGGCGCGGTGAGGGCGCGGTGAGGGCGCGGTGAGGGCGCGGTGAGGGCGCGGGGACGGGCACGGGGACGGGCACGGGGACGGGCTCAGGGACGGGCTCGGGGACGGGGAGCGGCGCTGGCGGCCCGGCCACCGGCACAGGGCGCGGCGGCTGCCTCGGGCAGCGCGGCCCAGCGGTTTTGCTCGTGGGCGCCCGCGGTGGTGAAAGCCGCCAGGCGTGGGTGAGAGCCGGGCGGGAGCCGCGGGGCCGGCCCCCTCGGGGCTCCGGGCGGGCGGTTGGTGCCCCCGTGCCGCGGCTGATGGTGGTGTCATCCGCAAATACTGTCTCTGTTCTTCCTTGAAGTTGTGAAATGTTTTCAGCAGCGTAACAGGTCTCGGCAGGTCAGATGTGTAAAGGCCGATGCTGAAGCTGTAGATACAGGAGATTTGAGGAATAATGAGGGAAAGCTTTTAGAATCGCTTGTGTTCACTTAAGATGAATTTCAAAATACCATGTTGCTCGAGGAAACAGTAAATAAAATGGAAATTATTACTGATCTTCCTTCTTCATAATCTTCTCAGTCTAGGCATATCCTAGATGCTCTTCAAGGTCCCTTCGAAACCAAACCATGCTATGATTCTAATCTGTATGAAACATGAGATAGGTACACGTAGACCTTCAGAAAGGGGGCTTTTACTTCTATAATTTTTAAAGCAATTTTAATTAGACCAAGTATTTAAATAAAGAGTGTGACATTTCAGCTTTCAGTGTACACAGTATGTAATTTCTCTACTAGTTTGTATGCTTTCATTGACAGCATAGCTCACTAGTGTAAAGCTGCTGGGACTCGTGAGACCTTGTAGGAGATGTGTCAGTAAGCAGCCTTGGCTGATGAGTGTGTAGGTTCTGGCCTTTCTGGTTTTGATTACAGAGCTAGCTAAGGTATCTTTTTTCCATGCCTCTTTTTTGCTCATCTTTAGGAGATTGTATGTTGCTTGTTTCACAAGTAAGTATATTGGATGTCTCCAGGCAGAAAGTTGGGGAATTTTTACCCACTTTTAGTGTGTATAAAGCCGTGTAGGAGTTCGTGATTAAGGCACAGCGAGATAGTACTTCAATGAAACAATTTAGGAAAGAACGTGGTTGAAAATACTTCTAAGATATGTCTTAAGACTAGTCTTTTTAGGTTAATATCTTTCAGGACAGATTTTTGAAGAAAGGATTTATTCTCCTAAGGTTTCAAAAAGAAATCTCACTCCCTCAAATAGATTTGTTATCATCATTTTGTGCAGTAAAAGGAACCTCAGGGCAGCCTCTATTCATTGGAGAATGACTAGCCTATGGGTCTTGAACTTTTTAGATTTCATAGGCTGCTAACCATGGCCAGAGCCTTGCCCACTGCTGATTACAGTGTTTATGAGAGTTTCTACTATGATGACTGTAAGAGTTTGCCTCAGACCAAAGAGGTATGAATTTAGCTTCAAATATTTGAAAAGACAAGTTAGTTTTCCATCTCAGTCATTTCTTATTCTGGTTTATTTTAAATAAACCTGAGTGGCTTAAAGTTAAAATACACTATTGCACAGCAGCAGACTCCAATATTTTTTATTGGAAAGTGTGAACTGCTTACATGGGAGCAAAATTTTGCTTCATATTTTGATAGTAGACAAAGTAAGTGATGTTAGGCAAGAAATGTTTTCGTTTTCTTGCTTGACAGAATAATAACCATAAAACTCTCAAAATGTATATAATTTCAAGATAATAATGCAGTGAGAGATTGCATAGAGAGTAGCTCTGAAATGTCACTAACTAGCAGAAGTCTGGCTGATTTGCCAGAGTTGCTTTCATACATATTTGCATTGAAATTGAATGCTGCAGCTGAAGCACTGATATGTGTATCTGCCTTGCAGTCAGGGCTATGAGGACAATGAATCTGCTGCTCACAGATTCTGGTGCTAGTCAGGCTGAGAAAAATGGGCTGGTAGAAAGTCAAGTTCTGCATTTGGAAAACTTGCAGAATCCTGCACTTGGAACAGAAGAGTGTCATGGAACAGCACAGTCTTGGCTGCTGCTCAGGTGCGAAATGGCTCTGCATCAAAAACGGATCTTAGGGTCCTGTAAAAGCTGAGTCCATAGTCTAAGAAGAGGGACAGCCCCATGCTGGGCTCTGCAGGTTGAGGAGAGTGATGCTTACCTCTGAGCAGCAATAATTGCAAGACTGCACCCGAGTTTCCAACTCCCCAGCAATAATAAGATACTAACGTACTAGAGTGAGTCCTCTGGTATGATTAGCAGGGTGAAGCACATGGTGCTCAAGGAGAAGTTGACAGAACTGGGGTTTTATTTATTGCTCTCCTCAGGTACACGTAAGGAGGATATGGAGGAGACAGAGCTAGTCTCCTGTTGGCTGTGCACAGCAGGCACGGTATTAGGTATTAAAATTTTCTCATTAGGTGAAAAAATTTTCCACCACAACAACAGTCAAGCCATGGAACAAGGGCCCAAAGAGGCTGGAGTGTCCATCCCTGGAGCTGCTCTGAATCTGACTGGGCAAGGCCCTGAGCTCCCTGTCCTAAGTGTATTCTGCTTTGACCAGGCATTTAGACTAGATAACCTGTAGACATTCCTTATAATTTCAATGTATTTTCATGTGCTAAGCAAGAAAATATGACTGCTTTAATATCACATTTATCTTGTCCTCTAGTAGTGTCCTACCTGCTGCTCACCTGCTTCTGAGATTAGACTTCAGACTAATAGGAAGAGAGGTATCTCTGTGCGCTCAGTGGAGGCTTTTCTGCAATACACAATGCACTATGCAAAATACTGCACTATGCAAAATACTGAAATCAATATATGAGGAAGGATATAGATCTGCAAATGGCAGAATTGACACTGACATGTTTTTAATATTCAAACTGTACCTGTTTATTTACACCAGTCTGAAACTTTTATTATGAATTCATGAGTTGAAGCAAAAGGCATAAAATTCTCTGATAAAAAAAGATGTGTTGTTTCAGTTAGGAAAAAATTGAGGTAAATTAGGATAGCATTAACAATAGTGACTGCTTCCTGCTTTAATAGTTCCATTGTTTTTGGTGGAATGCTTAAGGAGAAAATAGTTAATGTTGTCCAAGCTGGAAAATTAGTTTGTACAGCTGCTTGCTGAATGTGTACTGGTGCTAGAATTTAAGCAGTATAAATTCTCTTTAATCTTTGTGTACTCATTTTTCAGACTGCTGCAAGTAAAGAGAGAATCTCTGGTCATGATTTCCTTGTTGGACATGTTTACAGGGGTGTGGAGACATTGGGAAAGGAACTTTTTATGTATTTTGATCAGAAAGCTTTGAGGTAAGTGAGAAGAAGGCTTTCTATGCATTCTATGCATATTTGGGGGGGTCATCTTGATCTTGCTAATGGCACTTTCAGAAATTTGAAAGTGTTAGAAACTTCTCATCAGCCTCCCTGCAGTACAGGTGTACTGGATATAGTCGCATGTTTAGATAATTTGCTGCTTTACTCCAAGATTCAATGTAAAGGTATCTGAAAAGGACAGTTATTTATTGACATACTTTGTTTCAAACAGGAAGTTGCATTTTCTGAAGACAAAAATAAGTCAATAATAAGTCAAAAATAAGTCAAATAATACATGCAGTACATTCAGATCCCTGCAATATTGTGTTGTAATAATTCTAAAATCTCACCTTTTTACTTTAAAACAAATAATCAACTCATTACTACTAGTTCTCATTGAATAACATTTCCTAGGTTTAATTAGCTTGCCTTTTATATCTGTAATTAAAAAGATTTCTATTTTGTCCTATTTCAGGACATCAAAGGTAATGAAACACTTTAGAATTAAATTTTAGAAGTTTCTTAATGCTTTTGAGTGTAAACATGTAGTGACGATTCAATTTTTTTTTCCTAGTCATGATCTGAGAAGGCACTAGAATAACTATTAGTGATTTTTAAAGTTTCTTACAAACAGTATACTGGAGCTATGTAAATGAAACCATTCATTATTAAATTGAATGAAAAATAATTTTCTGGAAGCATTTAGTGCATCACCATTTCTTAGCAAGTTGCAAGAGTTTGATTTAAAAATAACTTTGCCTAGGTTTAAAAATAAGTTTGGCTAGTTAAGCCTGTGCAGTACTACTCATGATATTTGAGAATTGAAAATGGCTTTTGAAGATAGAAGTGATTGAAACAACTTCATCACTTGATCTGACTTGTAAGAAGAGTTTTGGAAAGATACAGGTTTTTAAGTAACTCATGGCATTAATTTTTTCATGTTTTAAAGAGTTAACTTTAAGAATAGGCTTAATGACATGTTGTCTTAAGCCATCTGTAAATATTTAAAATGCCTGTCCTTCCTGAAATGTAAGAAGGCTAGGTTACTGGAAATAGAGATAATTGCATTTCTTTGGTCATTTGTGAAGCTTAATCTGTTAAATCTTCTTGTAACTACAAAATAATACACTTTTTCTGATATACACTGTATAGTAATAGACATTCCTGCTTATCTGGTGGTTTTTAGGACTTGATTGTACCAGGTGAATTTGTAATAAATGAAATGACGAGATAATAGTCAGCCTTGTCCTTTGCTCAAGCATGGCTCCTCGTAGAATATTTTATATAACTTAAGATCTCTTTAAGCATAACTAATCTCTAAAATGAACACTTGAAAGGGTCTGTTCTTCTACTTTGCCATCTGTGCATTTTTCAGCTTATTTCTTTTATTAATTTTTAATTGACTTGTAGGTTTTGCTGTCTTTGTAGGCTAAGAAAAGCAGAAAACAACATATGGCAAATACTAATTATGTTGTTTGTGACGTTACTGGATTTAGCTGCAATGTGATAACAGTGGTGGGAATATGGGGACTAAATTATTTCTTTTCATACCAGGTAATTTCTGCCTGAGTTAATAGAAAAATTTCTGGTCATGTGGCCTCATTTCTTTCAGCCTTCCTGAAAATATAAGAATATGTGTTGGAAGATTAGCGTGTCAAGTGAAAAAAAAATTCTAAGTGCACCAGAAAATGGTGCTTCTAAATGGTCAGGTTTGATTTCTATATAATGTGTTATGAAGACTATGCAACCAGCTATGTGTTGGAGGGGTTTTTACTTGGGGAGCTTGCTTTCTTCTTTGGGAATTGAGTATTCTGTAAGCTAAGTTTGTTGCTGTGTTACTGGTAATGACTAGAATTTATGTACATACATACTGAATTGCTTAGGTAAGGTTCACAGCTCTAAAAATAGACTGGTGTTGTGCTTGGAAATGATAGTGAACTTAAAATACCTATAAAATCTCTCTTTCTTTCCAAGGATTCACTTTGGTATGAATGGTTCCATGCACATTAATCCTGATGGAAGCAAAGACAGAAATGGAGCACAACCAGTTTTGGAGATACAGCTTATGGAAGATACTGTTTGTTTTTGGGATGTGACAGTAGAATATAGGTAAAGCAGAAACTAATGAAACAGTTTATTTCTTTTTATAACATTCTTGTAAGCTAAATGAAAATTCATGTACAAATTGTTAAATGCTTGGATTTTATCAAGACAAAATTTTTTAAACATCATATTTATGGGTATGGTAATTTGAGTTTATTACTTTTTTATCAGCACTTCCATACGGTTGAAGTAGTTCTATGTCGTAGTGTCAAGACTGGGAATGGAAGTTGGATTTAATTCTATACTTAGATCTGTATGCATAAACCTATTGCTCTGTTAATTTCTATCCAAGTCTCATTTCTTCACAAGAGTAACAAATGACCTGTCACGATTACTCGTTTCAAGTTTTTATGCTCCGAGGTTGGATTTTTATTTTTTTCTTTTTGGAAGCAAATTTTTATAATTGTTCTAATTTCCATTAAGCAGATGTTTATGCCCATTAGCACTGTACTTCACACTCCTAAAAAACCACCAGAAAGCTTGATTTTAAAGTGATTGAGGCTCTTGAGTGGAAATGGGCATGTAAATTCATGCAACATCCATAAGTGTATGTAAAATTACAAACCACAAAATCTCATGTAAGCCAAGACTTCTTGTATGGTATTATTTTCAAATGAGTATGCTTATCCTAATAATATATCTCTTAAAATATGAATATATATTTTTAAAATTTTGTAACTACTAATAATAATCTACTACTGCATATATCTATTACATAATTATAATTTGGTCGGTTGGTTAGAGCACAGTGCTAATAATGCCAGGATTGTGGGTTTGATCCCCATTTAGGGCCATTAACTTAAGAGCTGGACTTCATGATCCTTGTGGGAGCCTTCCAACTCAGAATATTCTGTAATTCTTTGAAATATATATTTTACATACGTGTACACACACACACATAAATGTCATGTTGTAACTAGTGGACCTACAGTTAGGTATGTTTGAGGGTCCAAACATAGGGGCTTTCCATCTTGGAAGTAGTTTTAAAGCAAGGAGCTGGCAAATATTTTTCAAGCTCATAGGAACAAAATGAGATGGTTTCTTATATGTTGGACTAGATGCATGTTCCATGCACCTGTCATTGACCTGTTTTTGGAAGAGGTTTTTAATAGAATTTCTGTGCTGCTTCTTGTCACTGGTGTTATCATGGTTTCTATTCCCTGCATATAATGTTCTACTTTGTGTTGTTTTTAAAACCACACTGCAATATTAGAATATATTTAAAATAAAAATTAATCTGTGTATTTTTCTCTTCCAGAAGTGCAGCTGAGTGTGAGCAGAAAGTGAGGATGATGGAAAGTTTGGATGTCTGTTCTCCAAAGTTTAGCTTTTCAAGAGCAGAACATGAGATTAAGCAGCAGAGCACCCGTATGCTGTGTGATGTGTTACTGGATCAAGCAGTATTACCTGGAGTAGGAAATATCATAAAGAATGAAGCACTGTTTGATAGTGGTCTTCATCCAGCTCTTAAGGTGGGTGAATGTCTCAAGATGGTTTTTAAGGACACCAAAATATTAAGAATTTAAATACATGTTTATTTAATATTTTGTTTTCTTTTTACCTTTGCTTTGTCATCTGTAATTTCTTGAGTTATTGTTAGACACTAAATTAATGTTTTATCATTATAACTGGAGATTTTTGTGTTGGTGCTCCTTGGAACTGATTAACTACCGTATTTTAAGTCTGGCATCCTGTTATGCTACCATTAAACTGACGATCTATAAATAAGGGAAAATGAAAAGTGCTCTTTTTTTTTTTTTTTTTTTTTTTTTTTTTTTTTTAATTTACTACCCAAAATACTTTGTGGTAGAGTTGATAATTTTTGCAGCTGCTTCTTCCACTTCTTATCCTGCTAGCTGGTATCAGTTGTTTTTTCTACCATTGTTTATCATGCTTTTTCTGTTTTAAGATCCTCAAGCATGTGTTTTCAAACTTTGGTTGAGAAGATGATATTTGCAAAACAGAGATTATATAGGATGTAAATGGAAAGATTAGTAACTGAAAAGTTTTTTAAACACAGTATTTTGAAAATTGTTCATAGGATCAATCTGAATTCTAATTTTATTAGTGATATGACATAGAAAAAGAAAAATGTGATTTAAAATTTTGGATTTTTAAGAAAAATAAATTTGGTTGATACATCTAATTGTGATGCTTTTGACTCGCATATTCTTCCTGACTATCTCTCAGAGGGAACAGCCTCAGATGATAGGTCCTATTATGTTCCATGAGGAAATTAGGAAGGATATGAGACTTGATAACTCTATTATTCATGTGATTATGAAATCTTTGGTCAATATAGAGTGAGACAACTGAATTTTCTATGACGTTTTGCATGGTTGAGGCAAAGCATGTTGTTTAGTATGCAAGCAGTGAGTTTTTCTATTATAGAATGTAAATGAAATGTAAATTTTAAGGAATTTAGAGATTTTAGAGGAGCTAAGATTTTAGTTAGAAATAAGCCTTACTAGAGTTAATTAAAATAATAATAATAAATGAGTAGGCCTAGATGAAGTAAGGAGTTAGTAGTTAACTAATAATTGATTGCTTGTCAGCACAATGTTTAGTTAGCTGGGTTTATAATGAAGAATATAGAAACTGATAAATAGCTTTTAGGAACATAAGACAATTGTGTGCTTCCTCTGTTCTGAAACCAATTGAAGACAAGGAATGGGAGTTCTACCAATGGTTCATTTGTCATATTTGCATTGAAAAGGTAGAAAGGTCAGAACGAGGTCCTCATTTTGGGACCCCTCCCCATGAAAGGGACCACCAACCCATTTCAAGGAACAAACTACGCATGCTTAATAGCTTCTGGAGTAATTAGCATATGAAGCGGGGAATGGGATGTACCAAAAGTATGAATATGTATTTGTATTTTGTGTATTCAATACTTGTATGGATAAAAAGACTCTGTAATCACCTGGAAGGCATGGTGTGTATTTGGGATCTATCCCACACGCTGCCCAGTGTTGAATAAAAATACACTTTCTAACTTTAAACTGTTAGAGAGTTTTTGTCCGTCACAGTTGGATATCAGTATTACATCAATATCCATATGTTTTCAATAAATCATAAACGTATGCTATTTTACTGAGATGATACATATAACATGGAGTCAGGGAATTACTACAATATGGAGAAGAGCAACTCCACATCAGTATTCAAAGTGCACCTACCTCATAGGTCTTTTTTTGCCATTGTCCCTTAGCATCGTAATATTCTAAAAATCATTCTTGTCTTTCTTACAGGTTTGCCAGCTGAGAGATGAGCATATACGCCACTTGGTGAAAATGACACGTGATTTTACCCTGCTTTTTTATAAGGTATTGGCACATATTTCTGGAAAACTTCCAAAATGTTACTGTGGCATGTTTAGCTGTGTGTGATCATCTGGTGAAAATGATATAAAGATCCAACAAAGTAAGTGTTTCCATGAATAGGAATGTTGGCTTGTGTGCTCTTTATTAATTGTGAATTGTCAGATGATAGAAAGGTAGGGAGAGTCAAGATTGTCAAAATACGCAGTTTGGCCTAAAAGACTTGCACAGATGCTGCCTGAGGGCCAGTTCAGTCTTTCTGTTCATGTGCTGTTGTGCCAGTCTGAACATGTCAGAATTGATGTAGGCTATATGCACAAAGTTGCATATAAAGTAACATAAAGATTACTCTTCAGAATGGGAACTAGAGATTGTCCCAGGGAAGTACAAATGTATTTTATGTGGCTTCCTATATAAATCTTGAAATAGCAATCACATTTATTTGTCTAAATAGTTTGCAACTTCTAACAACTTTTTTTTCCTAACTGAAATGATGGATTTTGTTGATAAAGTGAAATAAAGTACAATTTCTCCCTACTGCTGTAAGTTCAGTAGGACTTAATTTCTTCCTGTATAAAGTCCATAATTCATGGTGTCTTTAACTTTCCACAATAGAAAAAGATAGAATTTGACCTAGTTCTTCTATGTTTTGTTTCTTTAAGCTGCATACAAAAATAATGACCAGCAGTAGTGACATTTTTGTCTTTCTCTTGATATTCATGAAAGGCAAGGAGCTAGCAGTGCTAAAAAAACTTTTTTGGTGAGTGAGGACACCTAACATGTCTAAAATCATAAAGGCTAAAACTAATTTGTTTAATAGTCTGCTTAAATGTCTACCTTCCCTCAACCCACTAATGTGTACTTTGGTTTGTTGGTAGGGAAATGTTTTCATTTCTCTGAACTTCATAGTGAAGTCTGCCAGTAAAGAGACACCTTCTAGTTCTGCAAGAATGCTAATACTCAGAAACTTAAAGGCTTTTGGACTGTAAACAAGTTATACTTTGTTTAGCCAATTTGAACACTTCTGTAGTCCACACTTAGCAAGTACTCACCAGTCAAGTACTTTTAAGAGGGCTAGCCTCTCCTTCTATCTTAAAGAGACATAATGAAAATATGTTAATGAGGGATAGTGCTTGAATTTTTTAATAGACTGTTATAGATTGTTTGCCATCATCATAGTATATCATTGCAGATGCAAAGATGAAGAATCTTGTTTGTGTAAAAAGCTGTTGCTTTTGTTTGTTTTTTGCATAACTGAATGGGAAAAAAGCTACTTACAAGAAACTGACTGAAAGCCTTGAGGAGGCAGCTGTGAATATTCATGCAAATATATATTAGTAATTCCTCCTGATTTAATTACTAGTTTGCACGGGCACAAGAATTCTCTTTCAGCAAGACTGATGAATAAGAGCACAGTAGAAGCAATATACTGTGCTCAAAGACACCTGTGTTTTGGGAGAACTCCAAGGGTTTTCATAAGTTATGGAGCTAGAGCTAGTGAACTCTGCCAGAGCTGTGCTAGTATTACTTGGCCAGCTGTGGTGTCGTTTGAACTGAGCCCAAGGATTTGCAACTGTAGGGCAGAAACTTGTGTGGCTTTGCACAGTTGGCTGGATCTCTACTGGGCACTTCTTGTTTGGATTTGTTTTTTGCCACTTCTAGCTATAGTGTGTATATGTTGACTTCATGGGTGTTTTGGGAATTGTATCATGAAATGTGCCTGCCAGCTGTCTGGAGGCTTTTCAGGTCACTGCCCTTGGGCTTGTACTATACTTAATTTAATACCGCTTTCTGCCAGAATCTGGGGAGCTCACCATAGTGCCAAGTAGCTTTTCACAAGCCAGGTTGTCTGGCATAGCCAGGGCCACAATGAAGCTGAGCAGCTTTACTGGGCACTATCCAACATTTATAGAATCTTGGGAATATTTCCGCATTGCACAATTCTTTAAGTTTTGGGAAGGCTTATTAACCCAGATTGTAGCATCACATCTGAGCTGTGTGATGTTTTTGGCTCTTTTGGGGGTGAGAGAAGGCAGTGTTTGTTTTGTGGCTTGTTTTGTTTTCTATGCTGCATTGATTGGAGCTCATTAGCTCTTCAAGAAGACTCCTGCAGGGATCAGGTCAAGTATCAGAAATCAGGCGACCCTGGCTCAGGGAAGAAATTATGATGTCTAGCTCCAGATAAAAGGCTGAATAATCTGCTTTATTAAAACTATACTATATTATATTAATATACTATTTAAAGAGATGCTATTCTACATACTTCTTACTTACTTAACAAACTTGTGACTTCTCTGCTGAGAGTCTGAGACACAGCTGGATCCAATTAGTCATTGTACCCAAACAACCTTCACCAGAATCCAATCAAGCAATCACTTCAGATAAACAATCTCAATTCCAAATTCCACATGGGGAAAACAAAGGAGCAGAGATAAAGATTGTTTTCTCTTCTTCTCTCTGTGCTTCTCCTAAGAGACAGAATTATGTCTCTCTGTCCAGAGAATGTGAATGTCATAAAGACTACTGGTGGTGAATCAGAGCTTGCTGGTCCAGCTGAACTCAGAGTTTCTAGCTTGCATTTGCTTGCAATCTTGCTAGTATGCTTTTTTTTTTCCTGTCTTTTATTTCATTATGTGGAGAATTACAGACACGGTTATACCTGATTTGTCAATTCTTTACATAAAACAACGTGAAATACAGGGATAGCCTTTATTAGTGTCTCTCTTAAAGTATCTTCACCTAGTCATTGAGTTGACAGTTTATGTAGGACTTTTTATTTTCAGTCTCATGTAAAATTGATCCTGAGTCTTTAACTTGGGTTTTAAACACGTTCTGTTTTAGTGCCGCAAAACGGGGTCTGTGCTATACCGACACTACAAAGTGTACAAGCGCCCAGCCTGCAGGGAGTGCAGCGGCAGCATCACCGTGTGTCGTTTGGGAGACCACAACAGGATGACTTACTTCTGCTCTCGATGTCAAAAGGCAGATCCCCAGCTTGTCAATCTTAGGTATGATGGTAACATGGTGGCATTTCTAAGCATCTCAAAGGTCTGTTACAGTAAGAGGGCACTCCCTTTGAAATAGACTGGGTCTCTATGCATTTTATAGCTAAATTAACTATGCCAAACAAAACCAGATCTTTCAAAAAAAACAGTTGTGGCTATTGGTGTTTAAAAATGGTTAGAAGCTTTGATTCTTCGCGACTATTCTTTTCAGAGGTGTCATTTATTATGAAGCAGCTATTATTCTAATCAAATGTAGGAATTACAGAACAATTCAGTGTACTGAGATTTGTTCACTGAAACTTAAGTCACTGGAAAAGTTGCGCTTTGTTGTTGGTATTATCAATATGAAAGGCATGGATGTTTCCACACAACTGAGTTGACTATCATGAAGTAGGAATTCTTCTTTCTTTTTGCAGGATAGCCCCATCAGTCCTGGCATATTTAGATAGCTGTGCATCTGTGCAATTTTCTTCTGGGTATAGACTTACACTGAGGATGAGTAAAACTTCAGTAAATTCAGAGTGCAGCAAATATTTTAGGGGCTTAGTACTCTTTCTTCCTCCTCATTGGATTTTGAAAGCTTTTACTATAGGTGTGCTACACAGTCACTCTCAGTTCCACATAAATTGTGCTAGCAGCAGCTTTCCTCCTTTTATTTCAGGAAAGCAGAAAGTGCATTTGATATCACAAAGGGTCAAAAGGTAAAAGTTCCAAAAGTACCTTATTCGGACTTAGGCATCTGTTATTCTTGAAAATTTTCATCTGAGGCTTCAGAATTCTGCCTTTATACTCTCTGTCAGTCTAATGTAAGATGCTGTTTCACTTTGCAACTTTGCCTCATTAGTGTGTGTATATATATGTTTTAGATAAGATTTAAGAACACATGAATCCTCTCCTACCTCCAAGCTTCTTTCAAGACTCAGATGGCTGAAAGGATTTTTGCTTAAAGCTTAAAAAATTGCCTTTGAGTACAGCTCAAATATCGAAATTTCCAGCATGGAAGATAAATATTTCTCAAGCTGATAACTGAAATCTGCTCTATTTTCAGAAAATGAGAAATATTTTTTAAAAGCGTAGGAAGTCAGCATTCTTCTGTTGAGTCAGATAATGAGAAAGCAATGCCAGGAAAAAAAAATCTTTGTTTTCTAGAACAAGTAGTAATTTAGTGTTTGTTTGGTTTTTTTTTTTTGGGTTGTATTTCTAAATAAACAATTAAAGAGTGCTGTATTTAAGTGAAAAACTTGGTAGTGGTAGCTATAAAATAGAAAGATGGCTTCTTGTTTTGTTCTTATCCTAATGGTCAGTTCTTTGTTTTCTACTGCTCTCTTTTCAATTTTACAGTAACTGTTACCATATAAAATTATGTATAGCTCAAATAATTTGTTTGCCATTCCAGGCTTTTCACATTTAAAGACTGGAAGGGGCCCATGTGCTTATACTGACTTTCTACAGACCAAAGACTGTAGATCATAAACCCAGTGGTTCTTGGGTCAAGTCAAATAGCTTATGATTTTGCTCAACTGAAAAAAAAAATTAGAAAATACCCATTATAAAATTAGCCCATCAAATTCAAATGTATCTCAAATTTAAAAAATAGACCTTTCCTCACATATTTCATAAATTGGGAAAGGGCGTGGGGGGTATAATGACAGGAAAGATGACCTGGGGGAACAACATAGAATTAAATTTTCAAACATGATACACTGAATGTATTCCCTAGTAATGCATTTTTTGATAACTAAGTAGAACAATTGATCTAATAATGTGAAAATACCCATTTTAACACTCGCAGTTTGGCTGTTTTGTTTGCTAGCCACAGTATTTTGGTGAATGGTGCTGTAACATCTGTTATACCTCTTAACAGCACAGACTCTTTGGTGTGTCAGCAGTTCTCATTATCCTCCTTAGTTTTCCTGTTGTGGAACATGTGGTAGGTAGTGGATATCTCTACCATTATCTTAGTACTCTATCTAGCCTCTTACAGAAAGTGATCATTACGGAAAAAGTGAAGGGTCAAAGGTGTGTCACAACAGTGCCCAACTACAGCATTTGCATTATTGTTTGAAGTGCTTAAATTCTTAGGCTTAATAAAAGTCTCAAAAAGCCCACAGTTCCACAACAACTATAAAATAAATAACCACTTGACAACTTATCAACCATAAGTTGGATAATATAGCATTAGAAATGTTCATACACAACTTACTGAACAGGTAAGTTCAAGTTATATTTAACATGCTGTCAGAGTTTGGATACTATGACGGAGTAGCCCCTGGTAACAGGAAGCTGTAAAAGAAGTAACTATGATTCTAAATCAGTCTATCAACATATGAGGTTATAATTTGCAGGAAAATAAATAAAACTAAGTCTTTAGTGGTATCTGGAGTAGCTTTGTTTCAGAAGTCACAGCTAGGTTCCTTGATTCTGACCAGGTTCCTACATTTTAAAAGGCTTTCCAGCAAATGGTGACTTTCTAACTTCTAAAGCTTTCAGCACTTTTGGATGTTACGATAAAAATTTGACTTGGGTGTAGCATTCAAACGAGAACAAAAAAAATTATTTGTTATTCTGTGTGATTTCTGCAGTTCATCTTCTGAACAGTTCTTCATCCAGTAATGCATTTGTTAGCAAGTGTTGTGTACAAGAGATGGGGGAAAGCCTTGAAACCGTCTTCCTTTCACACCACGCTTTTTGCTTCGGTAGTTGGCAATAATAGGGGATCTGAGAGACTGGGGCATTGTCCTGGACAGTACATCAGTTAATAATTAACTTTCTGTCAATTTTCTGTTTAAATATTTTTATTTGTTTTACTTCTGCAGCATCTGGAAAGATTTGCCCTTGAGGTAAAGAAAAGAAAATTCAAACTTGAACAGTGACATGCTGTCCAAGCTGTGATAGGAGGCTTAACACTGCATACGGCTTGTTCTCTAGCCCCTGCCTCCCTACACAGAGTGGTGTAAGGCAATTTGTAGAGGGAGCCTCACAAAACACTAACATCATTCTTTTGTTTCACAGCAAACTGCCATCTAGAAACAGCCTAATTGGTTGGGCATATGGCAGGGGGTCATGTTCTAATGAACATGTAGCTCGGAAATCTGAAGAGGAGTGGACATGTATGTGCTGCACCCTAATAAACAAGCCTTCTGCTGAAATTTGTGATGCCTGTTTGACTTCAAGACCTGAAGGTACTGAAGGGCTGTCTGGCATCTGTATTGGGAATGAGGGGAGGTCTATGATTTTGATGTAGTTTTTACGTAGAAGTGTCTCATTGTGAATCATATACATTAAACCCTATAAGTGTCATCTTCCAAGCTGGTGTGCAGGTGGGATTCTATAGATAAGTGTCTTCAGTGACCCTTTGTTTTTACTGGGGCAAGGAGTGAGAAAAATTTTCATTCTTTCAACTCTCCTTAAAATCCTTCAAAGTTTGCAATTTAACTCTGAATTAGAAATCATCAAAGGTCATAAAATGAACTGTTATTCTTTCATGAACAAAATCAGTATATTTTAGTACCCTTTTCTAAAAGGATGCCAGATTTCTCTGGGGCTGCTTTTTTTACCTTATAGTTCAGAGTAAAAATGATTCTGAACTTCTTGCCTCAATTTGTTGTTTGTCTCTTGTTGGAGCTTTTAATGCTGCTATCTACATGAAATATTGCTTCATTGCTTAATCATTTTATGACTGGAGTGATGTGAGGAAAACCCTTATTTGGCACTAGGTATACTTCATTTTCTCAGGTCAGGAATCAATAAAAGTATATCTTCATGCCTTGCATGACTGTTGTTGGCAACACAGGCTAATCTTGCATAATTCTTCTGCCAAATCAGCACCAGAAACCTGAAAATTTTAATCTGCTCACAGAATAAGATTTACCAACTAACATTTATCCTGGAATTAATCCTGTCAGCTGGCCTTTATAATATTATAAAGGCCAGCTGACAGTATGTGTACAAATGCTTTAAGCTTTGAAACAAAATCAAGTTCCTTCTCCTGTAATTCTGAGTTTTACTTGTTTAGTTCTATTCAATTACTGAAATCAGGTGTGGAATTTGAAGCTTTCTTGATGGAATACTGTTGGGAAATATTTTTTTAAAAAATAAGACTTTATCTTTGCATAGGAGTGGTATTTGAGATTTTTTTTTTTCAAATATAGGTTTGCTTACCTCTTTTTTTTAATCCTTAAGAGTCTTTCTCCTCTCACTTGGTTCAGTGTTTGTTTTTTATGTTGTTTCTAAAATTACCTACTGTCAGCAGAAAAGTTTGATTTTTTTGAGGACAGAATACTTTGTCTGTAAAATTTGATTTTGGCTGTAAAGCCAACAGCTTTCAGTCTGTATAAAGATAATTATTTACCATTACATTGCAATTTCCATGCTCCTTTGCTAAGTACAAGGCCAAGCTACTACTATTCTTTCTTAAAAAGTCTGAATGAAACAAGTATGTTTCAGTGTGCAGTAGTGGCAAAATGGAAGGTGCTTGGAAATAAGTAATGTTCCAAGTCAAATGTATAGATTCATATTTTTTTTCTGAGTGAGAATGCCTTTGGAGAGAGTGTGCCCTTGTGCATGTCTCATCTACGCATGTTCTGCTTAATTCCCTCTTTGTATGGAGTACCCTGGATATGGTAGAAAAGGAAGGACTCTGTGGTTTCACAGCTACCTAAAAAGATTGCACATAGGATGCCATTAGGTTTTCACCCTTTTCTCAGGAAAGGGATTACCTACAGACTGCTTATGTATTAAATTGGGATTAATAAACTATTTCCATTCTTTTGAAATGGTCGCTGCCCACTAGGAGGGCCTCTGAATCTGTGGAGAAACTGTCATTTATACCACAAAGCAAATGTCTGAACTGCTTCCTTCTGAAAAGCCTCTTGCAGTAACTAAGTTTGTATGAACACAAAGTTGGGAAAGGATGGGAACTTTGAAAACAATAGGAACCCCAAATTCTGAATATTCCTTTTTGTGTCAATACTTCAAAAATGGATAATATATCGCTGCTTGGAGGTACTATACTCTGTGATCTCCCATTAATGGGGTTATGAAAAGTTATTTTGAAAATTTTAAATACTTTAATGCTTGTGTTTGGGCCAAATTAAATTTTTATAGTTAATTGTCCAATAGCTTTCATTTACATAGTATTATTGATCCTACTCGAGCAATAGTAATGCTATCTTGAAACACGTTTTACATGATTCTAAGAGTGCATGATTTTTTTTTTTATTGTAAGAAATTTTGTACTCTTGTCTAATTTGTCACAGTTTTGAGATGGTGCTGTAAATTTACTCTTTCATTCTCCACATGACAACTTACAAATACAGATCAGAAATATAATGTAGCATTCTATGCAGATGGAGTATAACTAAAAACTTTTTTTCCTTAGTTCCAAAGATGGAGAGTTTTGAAGATTCTGCAGCCTTTAACACAAACTTAATGAAGTACCCTTGTAATGATTTCAGAAAACCAAGCACAGAAATAAAGATCAATAGGAAAACTGCATTTGGAACTACAACTCTTGTCTTAACAGATCTTGGTAACAAAACTGTTTTGAGAAATGATATCCAGGTATCTGGTGGACATTCTCAGTGTGTTTTTCCAAAAAGCAATTATAAACAGATCCAAAGCAATGCCTGCCAGTCAGGGGGAAGAAAAGACAAGGACTACTCAAGACCTGTAACTGCCCTGCCTTTGTCCTCCTGTCAGCAGTCTGTCTCTTTCAAACACATACAGAAGAAACAGAAAACTGATCATGTACCTTCAGTTCACCCATATAATACAGCAATCAGGTATGTATTCTAAAATGAAAGCAAGTCTTTATAATCCCATAAACCAACTTTATCCTTAAAGATTAATTGAATACTGTGCTGCTTGGTTCAGACAATGTTGTCTTTGGATTTCTGCTAGAGGGTGACTTATTCTAGGCTAACTGTAATTTAATTCAGATTTCAAAATCACTGAATTACCTAGGCTGTCACTAGAAAAGTCCTGATATTGGCATTTAGCCAGTGCTCTGTAAGCTAAACAGCTGTTCATAGCTCAGCTATTCCTGTTGAATAGGCCAGTCTAGTTTTAATAGGTCAAGCACATTTCTACCTAAGGAGTTGTCTGATCTTAACACTGTAGTTGCTGTTTGCTTAGAGAGATGTTGAAATCAGTGTGAAAGATTACAAAATGAAGCTATCTGGATGAATATATTCTAATTAAAGTTATTTGTCAACTATCAGGTTTCTGCATTCTTCCATGAGAGGATGCTCTGTATAGTTAGTTACCTTGATGAGCTTCCCATCACTGTTTTTGTTCTTCTTCTCATTCTGTATATAACCACTTAAATGCTCTACCCATACTTTTATTTACAGAGCCCTGTTCAGACACATCCGTTGCCTAGTTAGGAGAAATGTGAGAATCTGTGAGGGTTGTCACAGAAAAGTTGGGCAGATAGTAACAACAGTAATGGGAGTGCAAGGTAGATGTCACTTACAGTGGTAAATTATGCAGGCTGAATGTGAAATATTGATGATGTGTTGCAAAATCCTTCGTCATGTGTCTGTTCTGAAATACAGAAATTACTTCTTACATTGCTGAAGCACCAGTTTTGAAATGATCTCGCTGACTAGCCAGGCTAGACAGAATGAATACAATTCCTCCTCATGCTCTCAGAACAGACTGAGGAACTGAGGCTGTAGGCAGAATAATTGAGAATACAGAGGACTGTAAACAAGAAATGAGATAGTATCAATCATGACAACAGGTTGTTGTAGCAAGTCATCAACTGAAATGCTTTTTTATAGTATTTTCTTAAACAGCCAAAAACAACAACAACAACAAAATCTGTTGGTTATTTTTATCTTGTGTTTTAATGAGGTGTTGAAATAAATCTGCTGGTGTCTGCAGGACTGCAATTTTCCAGACACAGAAGACAACATAAAATTCCTAAGCTGCTAACTTGACCAGAATGAATTAATATTTTCTTTTTTCATTAAGGTTCCATTACTGCTTTTCTGCTCTATAAATATATTGGAAAGACAGATTTCAGAGGATTAATATTTTTCATGTTACTATTTTTAAATGAAACCTTGTGTATTTTAGATAGTCATAAATTGTCTCAATCATGAGGAAGCAGGAAACATTATCTCATTTAGAGAATTCTGTTCTATCCCATCATCTGGATTATTTCTTGTCCAAATGTGATTTGGAGCATTACTATGATTTTTCAGTAAAGAGGGTTGGGAGTCTTTTCTGTGAAACATACAAATATCTTCAGACTGGAGTAATTAGTGGTATTGGTCTTTTTCCCACCGAGAGCAGAATACTATTTTAGAACATGTCAGAATTTGAGGTGGGCAGTATAACATCGGTAGTAATATTTATTTTGTTTCATACATGAATTTGAGTACTTCAAATTAATTTAAAACATGGTGGGGAAAACTGGTATTATACCTCAAGGAAAGCACACAGTTGTCTACTCACAACTTGCAATTGTTCAGCTTTAAAGGCAAAATAGGGTGCACTAGAGAAGCAAGTCCTTTGTCACTGTGTGCAAAAGTACACTGGGTGAGCTATTGTAATGGTAGAAGAGAGTTCTTTGGCTGGTAATTCCTTTTAAATTATGCAGAAAGTCATTTTGTAACCTGTCATTACAGCGCACCTCAAAGTAATGTGACAGATGATACTCGGATGTTGAGCATGGGACATCCTCGGTGCAGTAAACACAGCCGTCTCTGCAGCCTCAGAGTTGTGAGAAAGGATGGAGAAAACAAGGGAAGGCAGTTTTACTGCTGCTCTCTCTCCAGGGAAACTCGGTGTGAATACTTTCAAGTATGTATAAGACTTTAGGACCTGTTTTTATAATCAGTGCTTGTTCCTGCAATCTCCTTGGCCCAGTGACCTGTCAATCATGGGCAGATATATTCCATTTAAAGTTTTACCTAAATACTCTTGCACACTGAATTGAAACTAAGAACATAATAATAGTTATTGAACTTAACAGTTTTAGTTACTTCTCTTAGTGTTGAGATGGCACCTGCTTGTGCAAATGCTCTTAATCTACTTCTGAGTGGTGTGAAACGGATGTATAAGAGAAATACTGGTTTGAGGGGACATGTTCAAGTTCAGATCAGCTTCTTCCTGAAAGGACTATAAGAAACTAGCTCTAATTGTCAGCAATGTTTCTGGCTAACCAAAATCCTGAGCCTTTTAGGATGATAATTCTGTAATGTGCCTGGACAAACCCCTCTCACTGCTGCACTAATACCTAACAGGACCTTCCTAAGTCCAATTGGTGGCCTCTGCTCCTTGCTATGGATGTAGGTGTCTTATCAGGTGGTTAATAGATGAACTCAAGACAGTAATGCATAAATTTTAAAAAAAAGTATATGCTAACATAACTTCAAGTTACACCAGTCAAAGTGCATGCAGTTGCAGTTGATGTCAAAGAAAAATCTAAAAAGTGTTCACAAAAAAGATAAAATTAATCTAAGTACTAGGAAGGATTTCTTTCATGGCACCCTCTGTAGATCTTTTTCTATTGTCAATTTTAAAATAAGGAATTCATAGCCATCACATGTGCCTGAAACCTGTTTCTTTGGCAGTGGGCTGACTTGGATTTTCCATTTTGTAACCATGGCAAGCGATGTGTTATGAAGACTGTGTTGAAGATTGGTCCCAATAATGGAAAGAACTTTTTTGTGTGCCCTCTTGGAAAGGAAAAACAGTGTGGCTTCTTCCAATGGGCAGAAAATGGGCCAGGTATGCAGATTCTTCCATGATGCTCATGTTACAGTTACCTGTTCTTCAGGATATCTTAAGTGCACAGAACATTTGTAGCAAATTCAGTTTTGTTCTTTTTCCCTGTTCGCTCATTAACTAGTAAAAGATCTCCAATGTAAAGAACATATCTAGAAAGAGTAATTTTACATAGTACTATAAAAATCAAACACTGCTTCTGTGCAGTTTACAATTTTGAAATAAACATTTAGCTTGCAACATACTGTGATGTATTATTGTATTTCAAATAAAAAATTGCACTGTTTTCTTGTCTTGTGTATTGTTTTAAGTTTTCATGTATTGTTTCAAATATTCATGTATTGTTTTAAATTTTCTTAAGTGTAAACTTTTATTTAACAAAAGTGATTAAAAAGAATATACTTTATTAAATACCACTTTGAGCTTAAGATGCAACAGCAACGAACTGTACAATTCAAATGCTACAACAGTTGACTGACCTTGCTTAGATTTGGAAAATGACAAAAAACTTCCCTAAAACAAATAACCTGACTTTCTAAATTACATATTCTAAATCCACATCTTAATGTTCTAGTTGCTACTGAACATTTTTCACCCACTCCATATGTAATAGATAATAAAATCTTACCTCCAAGATACTTAAAACTCAGTTTGTGTTTGTTGATTTTACCAAAATTTGCTGAAGCAAGGGGTAAATAGAATACGCTAAGCTATCAAATCAGAAGCAGAAATCTTGTAATCTTCAGAAAGTGTACTATAGATACTGAGGAAAATGACACTAATGAAATGGTCATACATCATTCAGCTTCATACGTCATTCAATTGCAACCAGTTTTTAATTAAAAATAAGGGGAAATAGTATTGCAGAAAAATATGTGGGATGAAGCACATTTAAAGGCACCTTACAAATGGTTCTTTCATCTGTGCAAATACTTGTGGTGTTTTGTTTTATGGAGAACTTCTTGATTTTCTTGAGAACATTGTATAACTTTATGCCAGTTAAATCTTCCAATTAAATCATGATTCAAGGAAAACTTTTAATTCTTTTCCTAAGCAGCAGAAATTCAGAGGCTTTTTTTTCTTCCTCTTTTCAGTAGCCTTAGATACCTATGGCATCTTTCAAAACTTTCCGTACATGAAGGAAATCTTTTTTAATCAGATTGTAGAAAATATAATCTTTATGTTGCTCAGTGGCCTCTTTCCAAATAACATCTCTTTTCATGAGGTACAGAACTCCACCTGAGAACAAAACAAGCTACTTCACATGGTGAAGACTTATTTTTCCATTGACGTCTCTTTCTGTGATGCTTCTTGTTGCAATGATATGTTGCTTCTTGCTTGTGCTTATACATCTAAATCTTTAAAACTCACTGGTTTAAATCTCACTGGTTCCTCACTTGTATTTGTACAATTCATTATGGTGATAAAGTGTTTGATTATTTTTAAATTGTACATGCTTTTGGATGTCTGGCACAGGGATTAATCTTCAGCAGTTCAGTTAAAGTTGAAAAATAAAAAAGAAATACAACCATTTCTGATTACTTGCCTTCTATGAATGTTAAGATTTCTCTGAAGCTGGAAGTTAAATTAATTTTTCAAACTTTAACACATGAAAAATAAGAGTTGGGCTTTTACATTTTTTTTCTTTTTTGCTTAATAGCAAGACAAGAAGTGAATATCTGTTTAAATAAAATATATACAAGTTTTAAAGGATTAAGTGCTTTTATTAGCTACTACAATCACTTTACTTTTTCTGTTCTTGTATTTCTTGAATATGTTGTATATGGTATATTTGTACCAGCCTAATTTTGCTATATACACTAGCTGTGTAATGTCACAAGGTGAGGAACAGCAGACAGGGTAATCAAAGGGCAAGGACACTCTGAGCTCACCACAGTGAACTAGCATATGAAGAAATCTCACATGTTTACACTTAAAGTAGGAAACGAAACAAGAGACAGTGAATTCTAATTCATTAGATTCCTCTGCAAACCTTACTGCTTTTGCTGGCACTGCTTTTTAAATTCTTTTTTTTCCCCTGGTTTTTTTTTGTCCCTTGGAGACAATGGCACTTTGTAGCTTGTTTAACAAGGTCTGGCTGATAGCTGGCTATAACAAGTTTTGCCCAAAAAAAACCTGGCAACAAAACTTATCTTGGAATATATCCACACTCAACCTTTCAAAAAGAAACTGCAACCAAGGGTGCAAAACCAGATAAAAGTCCTGATTTTCGGCTTTTATTCTAGTAGTTTACAAATGTGTTTTTATTTTTTCACATTGATTCATCTATCACAGTGCAAGTGATGGAACCCACTTCTTTTAGATCTGGCTTACACATTTTAATGGCTTGTATAGCACACAATGAACTGTGAAGGCTAAAAAGAGTAACAAGATCCAAGTTAAAAGAGGGAGCTGTTTTTCACAAAGATTTTCTGTAATTTCTATTCCTAATGAAAGCAAATGTAAATTTTTTAGAAAAGAAATGTAAAGCTTTTAGAAAAAATACAGCTCTTTCTAAAGGTCTTAGGGTTCTGACACATTTTTGTTACTTTGGCCTTTACCCAAACACAACCAAGAAAAATGGGAGTATTACCTAACAGCCTACAGGAGGCTGTTAGGAATGACAGGCTCACATAGGCTCCTTTGACTGGATGATTTCTAAAATGAGGTGCTGATGACAGTTCTGTAATAAAAAGGAGACTTCCAGTAAAGCTGACTTCTAAGTACTCTTGTGTATAACTTTGAGAGAGCTTTTTTTAGACGTTAACACTACATGGTGATAGCATGACTCATAATAGAAACTGCCTTTTACCTTAAGCTGAAAATGCTATACAAAACAGGTTTAAGAGGATCAAATCAAGGTTACACACGTTATGGAGTAAAAATTTTAAACTTGGAAAATACTAATGCCAAATGTCATAAGCAGTTTCTGCTTTATAAGTAGCACTTTCATTACTATTACAGTTTAAGTAAGTTTAGGCAGAGCATTCCCTTCAGACTGAAATTAATATTTATTTTCCAATAGGTCCCATTTGGTTTAGAATCAACAGATTTTATGCCTGGTTTCATGCCTTTAAATCCTTATTTTAAATAGTTTTTTAACCAGGTACTTGTTAAAGACAGGCATGGCATTTGATGTCAATACAAATTCAGCAAATAAATTACTAGAATACTACTTATTAATTCACTGAGGTACAACTAAATTTACACTAAAAATATGCACTCAAGTTTTAGGACATGACTATATCACAGCTGTAACTACAGACCTTTACAATTATACACCTATTCTGTATCCACCTTCCTACATAAAAAGGTGTTAGTTCTTACTTGTTTTTCTGGAATGGAAACTTACATAAGAGTCATTTACCTCAATGATGCAAAGAGATTTTCAAAGAAGCAGAGGATACCTTCCTTAATATCTGTATGAATGCTGATCATTAGTGGCTAAGCATCTTTCACATGAAATCAAAAGGTATTGTAAAGTCTTTAACAGACTTCACAGCAAACTGAACATTCTAGGAGATTTAAAATTCTTTTCAGTGCCTCTTCTTGTACCTTTTGCGATTTCTGCAATTCAGCTTGCTGATGATAGGCAGAGTTTATCATCCAGTGTAACTTAATATTCTGCATGTCTGTTTTTATTTCTCTGATACCTGAAAGATTGTTTATGTCAAATTTTTACTTGACTATTCAAAACATACATTCAAAATTAATTTAGAAGTGTATAGCAATGCACTATAATTTATATTAGTGGAACGACAAAAGCCAATCTAAGGAGAGAACCCAACAAATTATTTTCCATATGAAAGCTTATTAAAAATGCATCAAGCACATTTGCAGGTGAGCAGAATTCAGAGTGTACACAGTATTGTCTAAACACAGTGCTTTAGTTATTTAACTTACTAAATTGCCACTGCTGTAGGAAGTGCAAGTCCCTGCAGAGTTTGTATGCTTTATCATTTTTTATTATAAAATCAGCTTCAAACAACATGACTGTCTTTCAGCAATTAGCCATGTGATATGTTCATACTATGAAAAGGTGCTAACACTACTCATCTTTTAATACTAAGGTTTTAGGTGTGTCTTCTTAACAGGGAGATGGCAGAGTAAAGAGCAGTCTCGACTCTGAGCAGCTGAGCCTGATTTAAAGGTGGTATGAACTGTGTAGTTAGGAACACTGAAGGAGAAATTGAAGCAAGAATTCCTCTGTTTTGGCAGAGGAGAAAGTCCATTTGACTGGTTCAGCTACTTACGGAGCTGAAATCTAAGTCAGACACTAAAAAAGCCTATGTGGTCTAAATAATCATCTACCATACACTTCTGTAGCAAACGTGAATTTAGATTTTTCTTCTGTCTGTTTTCTTTAAACATAACTTCTTTTGTTCTATCACAGTACTCATGATGACAGTGACAGTATTATTTGATGTGCAAAAAATCCTTCATCATTTATTAGAGACAGGGACACTGCAGTATGGAAGAGACCACCTGCAATGGGGTAAACTGAGAAATGCATTTTAAGCTTTATTCAAAAAACAATGCACAGGGATCATCAGCTTTGTGCCCCATCCCCAGTTAAGCAGCATTTGCAAAGTGTTTTTGCTCCAGCTAGCTGACTTTTGAAAAGTACAATATTAGCTTAGGCTAACATTATTTTAAACCTAAGGCAATGGCAATATCCATTAAGAACAACTAGAGAAAAAAATAATGCATAACCTCTCATATAAATAATTCAGACTACATTTCTCAACTATAAATAATTCTATACCAGCAAAACTACAAAGGTTTTAACAAAAAAGAAACAAAATCCAAGCATTTTTAAATGTATTAAATGTGTTCTAGAACTTCAGGATGACCTAAACAAGAAAATGAAAATTTTGAAATGTCTTTAGAAAAACACTGAAGTTACAAGATTTCTATAAACAAACTAAAATTTTAACTTCAATTTTAAATCTAGACTACATTTGAAAAGCAACTCTGCAATATAAAAGTTAAACTCATTACTACAGTAATACTGCTGAGCCTGTGGAAGTGAAAAATACATTTAACCAAAGTTCCACTCAAGGCAAAGATGGTGGACTGTTGGGAAATTTCTTAAGGATGGTCCTTTCACGTGAAGTGGTCTTGAATGTAACTGTGTAACTTTGATTATAACTGAGAAATAACATTTAAGTCAATGCTTGGCCTTGTAGAGGATAAAAGTAAAAAATACACTCAACACTAAAATGCACAAACAAGCTTAAAATCCATTTGTATGAACAAGCAATTAGAAAAATAATGCACTTGCTTTTTTATTACTGCACACATGGAATATATAATTTATCCTTTGCTTCTCAGGCAGCTCATGTTATTTGCACTGTATTTGCCACTTCTCAGCTTCCTTCCAAGGTTCAGTCATCACCTAGTATTTCAACACTGTACAGTTTCATCTAGAAATCCAAGCAATGTCTCATGCTACACTTCACTAGAAAAACAGAATATACTTATTTTTAGTCAGTCCAAAGTCATTCAATGGGACAAGGCTTTACAATTAAAAAAAAAACACAAAACAAAAAACAAACAACAACAACAAAAAAAAACAAAACCCAAAAACTAAAAAAAAACCAAAAACCAACCCTTCCATAAAAGTGGGCTTTCAGCAAATGCATTTCTTAAGTATACCAGAAGAAATATATCTAATATTATCTTATCCCATTCTTTTATCAGAAATTACTCAGGATTGTGGAAAGTAATTTAAATCAGTGTCAGATGCTAAAAGTAGCAACAATGTTACACAAGTTCACAATAAGGACTGAAGGTTTCAGAAAGTTACCTTTGAAACTGTTATATCTTTGCAAGACCCACCGAAAAGGAATTAAAAGTCAAGAAAACCCCACCACACATAAACACACCAGAAAATATGTTTTCCTTTTGCAGGGGAAATGCACTAAACATTTAGCTACTGAAGGTTCTTGGATTCCCACAGAGCCAAATCCTGACAAAGATCAGGTAATCAAAGCAAGGTGTAACCACACAAAATATCCCTCTACAGCCTGGCTTTGGTATTTTTGGACACAGCAATGTAGAATGAGACATAAACATAGAAAAAAAATTTGCCATAAAACTATTCAGATATGCAGATATTACAGCACATACAGATGTTTCAACTATTTATATTTTGCTAATTATAATTTGTTTTGATAAACTAGAACATAAATTATTCAGCTATGGATTGAAACAGAAGGAGAAAAGTAGTTATGGGACAAACTAGAAGGTGGAATTCAGGTGAGGGGAATAAAACCCTGGAGCTATAGTGCAGAAAAGGAGGTTCCTCCCTCCGCCAGCCCCCAAAAAACTGGCATGACTACTAACATAAAACTTTATTTAGCAGATCTCAGGTGGTGCTAGTTTGAATGTAATACATTAGGTACTACTGAACTCAGTCCCTGATAACGATTACCAGCTGCAATTCAAACAACTCTTGTTTCCTCCTCATTGCTCTGCACAAGCTACATTTGGGTGCTGCCTAGAACACTTTACTTTCAAATTCAGTTTAAAGCCTTATTGATTGCACATGGTGGATTAACTTAATTTAATTTATTGTTATACCAACACATGAAGCACATGGAAAAATTCAAGCACTTCACCTTTGTTCCTAAAGTCTCTATATGCCATATAAAGCCTATTTTTCATGTATCCATTTAGCTGTATCTATTGTGAAATCTTAAAATATGGTATGCAGGACTGACAGCTTTAATGGCAATAAATAAAAAAGAAACAACATTCCTGAGATAGCACTATTAATCAAGTTGCACTTTTTTATTTTGCCATAAATACTAGTGTTAATTGCAAGGCTTCAGGTGACAATCAGCTAACAGGCTCTGCTGATTGAGAGGCGTCTTTTAATGACAGTTTAGGCAATTAGATTCATGCTATATTTAGAGCTTGTTTGGGCTGCTGGATTGAAAAAAGTAACGGAAAAAAACCCTTGCAACTGAGGTTGGGATTGTTTCCTAGGAGCAGGAATGACTGGGGGACACACAAAATCCGCAGCTCTTGGATTCTACTCCTTTAGTAGCTGAACTGCAGGCTCAGCCACCAACTGGCAGCAGGCTGCATTTGCTCATGGTGAGTCAAGAACCAGCCATACTCAAGTGTTTCGTGCTAAACAAAGCACAACTACATCAACTTTGAAAATTAAAGTATACACAACTTAAACTATTTATTTAAAATCAAGTGTATGTGTCATTACTTTGCTTTATTGAAAGCTGCTAAGTTAGAGAATAGTGTACATATCCACTGAAAATATAATTTCCTAGCTATTGCAAATAATAAAAAGATTTTGCAGTGCAAACACACAGTAAGGTCAAAAGAAATGATCTTCAATTTTTCATTACGTCCATTCACATATAATTTTACCACCATGGTAAGTACTTTATAGTAATGGTAATTTCTTCTATAATTTCTTTGCAGGCCTGCCAGATGACCATAACTCTCTTCTCTGGTACAAATGCAAGTCCAGAAATTTGTTTGGTCAACTAGAACTATAATTTTTCCAGAAGTTTTGGAAGACTTAATAGAGATGTGAGTTTGAGGCAGTCAAGGTGCAGGAAAATATATATTCAGATTGCAGAATAAAATAAAACAATTCCCACTTATTCCCTGCAATAAAAATGAATGAATGTAGCTGTTTCAGTTACAAAATATCCTGAAACATAAATTTAAGGTGCTTAGCCGTATGATTAAGACAGATGGCACTCACAATCTCTCACCTAAATCCGTGTGCACTTTTCAGCCTGTAACACTGCTTTACCAGATAGCTCACCCTGAAGCATCGTTTCCGAACACGTTTCCATAACCCTGTTAAGTAAGGCTGAAGTAAACATTCTTGGATGTAAGAAAGATATAGTGATCATTAATTAATTACTGAGATTACAAAGATATCTGCTAAATTGTTATCCTGTGGACAGGCTGCTAACATTGCCAGAATATCATTACAAATACTGAAATTTGTTACCTATAAATTCCACATACGGGATGGCAGACCTGAAACTGTGACTGTATAACGAAAAGGGTTGTGCTTAGGCTGGTAGTCTCCCATATTTGGTTTGAGAATAAAATATACTCATTCTGGGAGAAAAGACACCTAGCTTGTCATTCTGAGGCACAAGATATGTATGCTGTTAGTTGTTCACTATTAAGTCATAACATTATTGGAAACAGACACTTGTTAAAATCAAAATGTCGTAAGTGGGAAGTTAAAAGAACCACACTGATAGCAAATTCTTGTAGTCAGAAGTTTTGCCAGAAAGTTCCTTAATGCCTTATTAGTGAACCATTCAGGAATTTGGTCTGTTTTCTGAGTTCTGCAGGAATTCAAGGAATGCTTACCAGGTGCTTACCACATACTGGTAAGAACCAGAGGAAAGGGTTAAAACCAGAAGATGTGGTGAGGAGGAGGGAATAGTTTTGCTCCAGGTGACCTTGCAGCTGGGATTGCTAAAAATGTCAGTGTGGGAAAAACTATTTCCATTTATTATGCCTAGTGTGGTTTATCTTCTGCCTGTTTTAAGTGGAATTCTTGTGAACATAACACACTCTCACAGACATGCACAAAGCCTTCTGTAGTATTAAGGCAGGCAGAGACCCCCCTGGTGCCCATTAGGGTGAGCTAAGCCCAAGGAGCCTGTGTCCCTGTGTGTCTCTCCTCCCCTGGGTTGTAAACAATGTTCACAATTAAATAAATCTACTCTGCATTTTAGATGTGGCTTGGTGGTTGCCTTCATTACCTGTATGTGTTGACTCACACATTACCTAACCAGCACTGACAAGAACAGACATGGGTCAGGATGTGTACCCTTAAGGAATCACATGCTGTCTTCCTCATCTCATATTTCTTAATGAGGCTGTTCCGCCTAGTATAAATGAATTGCTACTTATTAAAGGAAAATGAGGAGAAAAAGATTGTTTGGCCTCAGCGTTCTAGGATAATTAGGCAGGTTATTATTTGAACATGGATTTTCATGTTCCACACATAACAGCACAGTCATTAGGAAAAAATGCAAGCCAGAGATGCATGAACTGCCTGCCTGCTGAGCAGCACTCAGTGTGGTGGATCAGCAGGTCCATCCAACAAGGCCCTGGGGTTGAGCTTTGGCACTGTTATCTTAGTAGCAGTGGGGGCTACCACCTTTATGCAATCTCACTAACAAAATCACATAGAGATGTGGGATACTTACAAAGCCAGAAAGCAGCAGATGCTACAAAGTACTAAGGTCTCCACAGAGTTTAAAATGTTGGACTCTGGTGTCTAGGTCTCTTTTGGAATTTCCCAAGAAAAGAAAACCTTTCCCTCTTTGGGGCACTCTTAATGAATACTGAGACTAAAGGCTTCAGTAGTACTGTATTATCCAGGGATTTTGATATTTGTTGTGAGAAATACTTCATATATGTGAGAAATACTTTAGAGGCACTTACATAAGATAGTCTATTGGATGACCACATTACCTGAACTTCTAGTATGCATTTCAATTTTTTCCCAAATGCCAAACCTGGAAAAAATATAGGTACAAAGTAGAACATAATGGTTAAGTTCAACACTGACTGGCATATTGTGAATAGCTGCCTGACCAACGTGCAAAAATTGTAATTATAAATGACATTTGGAATATTTATCTGGCATTAGCACTTGTATTTCTCACAGTAAGGCACTACATTATTGTTATAAAAGTACAACTTTATGCAAGATCAAACTTCTATTCCCAAGTCTGAAAGAGTCTTGATTTTTCAAATTAAGTTACAGGGTTATGGCTCTATTCTTGAGTGTGCCTGCAGATGTTATCATAGCTCCACTGAGCATACTGGTGATTGTCTCTTCCCTAAAACTCTTTGTGATTCAGTAACCAGACATCCCCGTGACAGAACTCCCCAAGAATCCAATCTCACAGTCTGTCCAAACACAGCAGTGTTAACACAAAGCACATCTCACAGTGACTTTCAATTAAATAGCCAGTCAAGGAGACTGAATTCAATAGTGCTCACATTTTCATAAAGCATTGTAGTAGCAGCAGCTGTTCTGAAGTCGTAAAGCCTCCTCAGTCAGCAGAAATTCAAATTCACATTTTAACAAAGAGAAGGTGATCCGAAAGTGATATGGGACTCTGCACTTTCCCATCCTGAAAATGGGAAACCTATGGTAGATAATTAAGTATTTACATGACAGAAGATAGAATAAGGAAAACATGACAATAACCTGTTGATAAAAAAAAAAGAATAAAACAACAGTAGATGCCCATCCAGATTTTTCATATCTTTTACTAAATTGTACTGGGGGGAAAAAGAGCAGATAGGCCTCTAGCATGAGGATTGAATCATGAAACCTGCAGAGACAGGCATCTTACTTCAATCTGCAGGAAAATTTAAGAGAGTCTTCTTTTGCCAAACTAAGAATGTGCTGTCACCAGCTGGATAGTTTCCTGTGCTCCTCAGTATCCTACTACACATTCCTGCATTCGACCTTTTGTTAGTATTAGCAACTGTGTGGCCCTAAAGTAAAATGGAACAGCTCGCTTACATTCTGAAAAAGAAAAAAAATACTTTTTTTTAGCCAGGCAGCAAGCTGATCCATTTTCTGGAGCTGCACAATAACCAACCAACTGCACAACTGAAGAGAGAACACATACTATACTCCCACATGTGGGTAATAACCTGCTCCTTTTGAGTAGCAAATCTTTCTTCAGCTGAAACCATCCTGAGAGATGGACAAATATAACCTTGTCTTCAGCCCTTCATTATTAATTGTTAATTGTTATCAACAGTTAATTCTTCCTTGTCCAATACAGCTGCTTTTGGTGGATTTTATTAGCACTGCTGTAAGTATGATTCCTGGAACTCAAAACAGGAATGATGATGGTATGATATACATACTTGATGTATGCTCCCCCGACAAGCCCTGCAGCCCTTCCTTGCAGCTCCTAGATGGGAATTTAGAGTCGATGAAATGGGGTGCAGGCAACTGCTATTCTCAGTGCAAAGTGCAGAGGGAGGTCAGAGAGGCTAAACTGTTGGATCTGGAATGAAACATCCACCAGTCTGCCAGTCCTGGTATACAAACAGTAACCTCCAGTGAAGAGACACAGCAGGCAGGGAGAAGTAGCACTGCAGAAACCTGTTACTGCTCGTAACATTCTTAAGCTCACATAGCAAAGTGATGTTACCCCCAAAGACCAATTTTTGGGGCTAGGACTTTCACTAAGCACTAACAAGATCTGTCAAAACTCTAGCTGAGAAGTGAGATCACAGGACTTTTCATGTTGGCAGATTTTTAAGAATGGGTGCAGATGGAATGTCAAAAGCTACATTTCATTAACACTGTACTCCAATGTGATTTATTTTATACTCTATAACATACAAATTAATCTTCAGTAACAACTAGATTAACAAAACACACTAGACTATGAACTAAACTTATTTATAATATTTTACATCCACCCCTTTAAACTATAATATTTTGCTCCATCTATTACCATAAATCCTTCAGAAAAAAACCCACATATCTAAAGAAATGATTACACAAGGAAAGTAGGAAATCATCAGTTCTACTTTCCTATCCAATGCTCAGGAAAAATGCTACAGATAAAAATATTAATTTATTAGAAGTTTCAGTTCCTTTGTACTTCTCTATGTATCAGCCTGCCAACGCAACCACAAATCTCACAGATGATCCATGATAATTTGTCTTGGAAATTTTCTTGTTACAATGTCTATCCAGGAGCAGCATTAAGATAGCAGTATAACTGTTTTTGTTTTCAAAAAGCCTGTCACACTGCTTTTAATAAATAACCACATATGCCATCAAGCATCTACTTATGAACAATAAGCATTCATGATCTCGCTAAGTATAATTCTAAACTTGTACTGCTGCAATACTGTAATCTACTGCTTCAGGAATTATGCCACCTTTAAAAGGTCATATCATATAGAACTGAATTCTCCCTGCCAAATACTGCATGACAAAATTATACTACAACACAGTCTACATCATGCATGAAATACACTTCAAAAAGCAAACTGAGCAACAGTTGAACCTAGATGGGTATAGCCAGAATGTGTCAAGAAAGCTGTTATGACAGGTCTGCTGGCAGCAAAGAAAGCAAAATTAATATAGAGAAAACTGACAGATCTGAAGAAACTATAAAGTACCATTAATGGCAGATCAGGAAAAACATCACCGGGATTCTTCTGATTATAGGAGAAAAAGCCTTTCTCCTGTTTGGGAGGGTTAGGTCTATAACAATCTTTCTATACCTGTATTGAAAAGGTAACAAGTTTAGGTCTTCCCATCCGTACATAAGAATATTCAAATAAACAATGACAGAGGATTTCTTGCTTAATCAAATTTATTATTTCTCCATATCTTTGAATGATAAATGTTTAGAAATTAGAAATATAAAATGCAACCCAACTTTCCAACTACATTCAAGTGGCAAAGCCCACTGCTTTCTATGTAATTACACAACACCAGCAATCAAAATCATAACAGAGCAACAAA